GCTACTCGCGTCAATTGTCGAAATTGGAAACTTGGTTATTTAATGTAATATATTATGTAGGATAAAATTTAAAATAATTTTAAACTTGGTAACAATATTGTAATAAATAAACATTACAATTATCCTACTCCTCATATTCTGCACTCGTCGCATTCTCTCTAAGTTTAGTATTTTGAAGGTTTCACTTCTACCAAGTGTAACCTATACACATGTTTTTTTTTAAATACTAGCTGTTCCCCGCGACTTCACCCGCGTGGAATTTACTACGATTTCATGGGTTTTAATTTTTAGTGCGGAACCCTAATTTTTTTTAAACTAAAATATCCCAAGTTATTCCTCATAACATCAGCTATCCGCAGTAAGTCTTGTCAAAATCGGTCTAGCCCAGTGTTTCCCAAACATTGTTCTGACATGGCCCGGTAATTATCACACTATACCTTCGTGACCCACTTAATACTTTTAAACCAAAGCTGGTTCCATTAAGTAAAATAATGTTACGAGCTTGGGGTTCGAGAAAATTAAAAACTGCCGATCGAATTACCGAAATTGACACTTTAATTACACAACACTAATTACAATCTAAAACCACACTAATAATAAGACACAATTGTACTACTGATCACGTAAGTTCGCAGTTGTTTCGCTTCGAAGAATTCTCTTGTATTGCCAATTCAATACTGACTCGGTCTAGTCTATAACGGCCTTATATAGGGCCTCAGATAGTTTCCAGAACCTTCTACTGTAGCGACATATAGAATATTCGAGTACATTTCGGTCCCGAAATTAATAGAAGGATCTTGACTCTCCTTGTTCTGCTACTCGACACTAGAGAGCGCTAGTGGTGGCTAGTATTGCCATATACAAGACATTAATAGTGGCGCGCAACAATAATACACATTTGATAATAGTAAAAATGTTTTAAAAATGAATGTTAACGATACGTCGTCGTCGATAGGTGTTATTTTTAAAACAAGGCGGGAACGTTGCGACCCGGTATTTTATTTTGATGGCCCGGTACCGGGTCGCGACCCAGCAAATCGGAAACGGTAGTCTAACCGTTTCATGGATTAACTGGAACAAACAGACAAAAATTTAAAAATTGTTTTTTGTCATTAGTACCGTATATACTTTCATATGCTCTTCGTAAAAAGCTGTTATTTTAACATGACAAACAGACACTTCAGTTTTATTTATTTGTACTCGTATAGATGTATACAAACAGGTGCAGTTTAAATAAATGCTGTCAGAATTTATATATATAAATTTATAAACATCTCAAAAATATTAATTATTTAAACTATATATACTTCAAATTCGTAGGTTTTGGGTAATTAAATGTCATGGCTTGCTGTTGTAAAAGTAGTTTAGCGCCCTTTCATACATTTACTTTTACTAAGGAAGTCCCGCCTATTAAACCTAGTGATTATACACCAGTTAACCAATTTGGTTTTATTATCTTCTTGTACTTAATATTGAATTTTATGCTTTCAAGCCATCAGATAATAGCGTAAAAAATATATTTAACTTTATGTTAAACTAAATTATGTATATTTTATGCAAAATAAACGAAAATAAAACAAATTTTTAAAACAATATTTATACGTGGTAGAGCCATGCTGCAGCTATATTATGGTTGTAGCACGAATGGGTCGGCTCGACCGGGGAAGGACCACGCTCTCACAGAATACCAGCGTCGAATAGCAGCTTAACGCTGTTGTGTTTCGTTTGGTGAGTGTAGAGAACCGGAGACCCTTTTTACTGGAAACGAGGCATTCCATCTTAGTCCTCACGGGTGACAACGCATCTGCATTTAGATTCTTAATCGAAGATATATGTACATGTCTATGGGCCACAGCAACCACTTACCATCAGGTGGACTGTGTGCTCGTTTGTCACCCTTATCCTATAAAAAAATACATAAAGGTTTGTAAATAAATAATTCCTACGTGGTACTTACATTGTTGTTTTCACACTTTTATGTTCCGCAGCATAGTAATTAGCGTTATTCTAAAAACAGCAGTAAAAGAGCAACACATTTATCCTCAATAAACCTTTATGTATGATCATCATTCAGAAGTTTCGTAAAATCTCATTTTAGCTTATGTTGATATACTTAGAAATATAACATTATTGCTGATATAACAAGGGAAGCATCTTTATTGTGTTTGACAAGACAATATACATTACAAGACAGCATAGAATACAACCAAACAGAAAACATTTGAAACCCTACCAGGAACCCCGTAGGGTTTTGTTGAATAGAATCCTTCCAACTTATGATGTAAGATGAGACCATATTAAAGATTTTATTACTTTATATAAAAGATCTTCACACATAAAAACATTGGTATGAGTTAAAATGCTGTTTGGGTCTCTTCGGGCTAATTGTAATCACATTTTGTTTTTTTGGAGTTGTTGGAACAGAAACAAACAGTTTCTGTGGACTACTTATAGTCGTATTAGTACAATGTGGCACTACATACCATTTATACACAAATTTATCGAATAAATTTGAAGAAAAATGAAAAAATTCACTTCAGCGGCCTTGTTTTATTACGGTTAATAACTTGTTTATATGTGTGTGACGTCACACACGTCATATGAAAAGCGTAATAATTACAGAATCAGCGTTTTTGGCGCGGTATTGGAAATTTAAAGTTTAACTTTGATTTTTATTGTTAATACAGTAGATCTCCCGGAAATATCAATGTTATTTGTAAAATGTCTATTTGTAGTGTGCTAATAATTTAATAAAGAATCATGTTTTCCAAAATTAGTCAATTAGCCTATTGTAGCGCGCCTTGATCTATTATTACTCGGCGTGATAGGTCCATTCGTGTGCCGAGTCGATATCGTCATACTAAAGTACGCTCTAGAGGGCGCTGTAAGTGGAGACAGTAATTCGCGGGTTGTTAACTCCCATAGACACACTCTGGTCTATGGTTATTATTCCACGCGGCCGCTCACTTAAGAATAATACAAAAATGTCTAAACTTGCAAGAAACCATAATTTTCTCATAATTACTTTAAGCGTAGATAGTTAAATATAGTAAAAACTATTTGTAACGTTTTCCTTTAACTATGTCAATTTTTGGACAGTAAAACGTTTGTTCTATTCTTTTGTGGCGTTTGTGTTTTTTTTTATTTTCTTTTTTCGGTCTATATATGGAGTGTAGAGTACAAGGAGAACCATCTTTTAAGGGGCGATAGTTGAATAAGTGTCCTGCTATTTACTGAAAATAGAGGTTCCAAAACCTACCACAATAGCGCTGGCGTCTGAAAAACTACGATATGAAGATAGCTTTTGTGAACGGAGTGAAGTCAGCTGAATTCAAATATTTAAAAAATTTCATAACTAGAGTAGTTAGAAAAATGCCAGTATACAAAATCTCAACTATTTGATTGGATTGGTCGGTCCTTGTTTATTTCTCCATCTTATTCTAATTTTTTTGGTGCTTTTTTTAAATTTATCTTATGCTAGTGCAGAGCCACCCTTATTGGACAGGTTTTTTTTATACGTTAAGGGTGACAAATGAACACACAGTACTCCTGATGGTAAATGGTAGCTGCGGCCCATAGACATCTACATCTATCCTCTATTACAAATCAAAATACAGATGCGTTGTCACCGGTGAGGATTAAGATGGAATGCCTCATTTCCAGTAAAAGGGCCTCCGGCCACCTGCACTCACCAAGCGAAACGCAGAGGTAAACCTCTACTTCACGCTGGTTTTCTGTGAGGTCGTGGTACCACCCCGGTTCGAACCGGCCCATCCGTGCGACAGCAAAAGCTGCCGCGTGGCTCTACTACTGTTATTTTTAGGGACACATTTTAAATAAAGACATAGTCCTCCTTCTACTTTACACTCCATAGGTCTATAGAACAACGCTACACTGTTATATTCAAATATGGTGCAGTTTTTCCATATTGAAAAAGTACCCATTTCTAATTATTTAAAGTTATATCGATTTTATAAGTTGAGCAATATTTACCTATTTTTTATTTAAAAACTACATGGGTGCAATTTAAATAATAAATATTTTTGAGATGCGCTATTTAAAATACATCTGTCAGTATTTTTTATTTTATATATACTCCAAATTCGTAGGCTCGGCATAACATTTGTTTTTGTACGGCAGCGAGTACGTGATGTTTTAATATCACGAATCATGATTCTAAGCCAACGCAACGAATCGTTATAAGAAATAGGCAGTTATGTGCGATATGTATTACTATTTATACGTTATAAAGTAAATAGACGTTTCCATAACCGTCTATACCCTGTAAAGGACAGTTACTATACTCTTTGGTCTATACGTTATAGCACTTCTTAGACCGGCCACATACATACGGAATTCCGTTTCGAGATTCCGTTTCGATATTCCGATTCGGAATCCTGAACGCAGCAAGTCCATATAAAATCTATGACCCGCCACACACGTACGGTAGTTTTCCGTTCGATATTTTGCGGGCAAAACGGGATTCCGTTTGTATGTGGCCGACCGTTCGAAATTCCGAAACGGATTCCCGAAACGGAATTCCGTGTTGGCGGGCCTTAGGCCCGCCACATACATACGGAATTCCGTTTCGAGACATCTACATTTATCCTCGTTTGCGAATTAAAATGCAGATGCGTTGTCAGCGGTGAGGACTAAGATGGAATGCCTCTTTTCCAGTTAAAAGGGTCTCTGGTTCTCTACACTCACCATACGAAACACAGCAGTGTTAAGTGGTATTCTGTGAGAGCGTGGTCCTTCCCCAGTCGAGCCGACCTATTCGTACTATAACTATACTACTAATATAACTGCAGCATGGCTCTACCACGACAAAAATTACATATACATATAATATATAATAATATAATATACATTGTAATTTCAGGCTCAGAAAGGCCATAACCCAGAGCCGTAAAGCCAGTTATAAAAAAATGCTCATAGCTACGGGAATTCTAGTTCTTCTTAGCTTGCTAAATGTTTATTTGTCTATGGTTCTTCTTTTTCTCTTTGTAGGACAAAAGCGTACCGTTGAAAAATGTTGTTAATAATTCATAATTTGCCAAATAAGGTCTGTTTATACCGTTTGTCTGTTATATTATCGAAATTGAATTTTAAATTTACGTTTATATCCTCAGATGCGGTATAGTGATGTGAAAGCACTTATTAGGGACAGATGCGGTTTGACTGATTTAATACTCGACAATCTTACTTATGTACACCCGGATAGTTATAAAGTAACAGTAGGGTTAACTAATGAAAACGATGCAGCAATTATCTTTAACAACCTTAATGGACTAGATTGCTTGGGACAAAAATTATATGTAGAAGATTTGCGAAAAAAGAAGGTATGGGTATATTATAATATAATTCTTCCTCCCCCCTTCCCCCTGATTTCCCTGTAATGTATCCCTATAATGTATTAAAGTTAGTTAAAAGTCAAATAATTTTATTCAAAATTGGCCCTTACAACATACTTTAGTCAAGAAAGCTGCACCATCACTTCAATAAGTCTTAATTGCAAAAGACCTCACTAAGTCTGAAAAGTGGCAAGAAACTCTCAAGAAGACTATTTATTTAGTTTATTTAAAAAATAATATTTTCATCAACTTGTTCATAATAAAAGTTCACTGCTGAACTAATATTTAAGTGGTAGAGCCACATTGCAACTATATTATGGTTGTAGCATGAATGGATTGGCTTGACAGGGGTAGGATTACGCTTTCAGAGAATAGCAACTTAATGCTGCTCTGTTTCATTTGATAAGTGTAGTCCTCAAAGGTGACAATGCATCTGCATTTCGATTCTTCATCGAGGATAAATTTAAATGTCTATGGGCCACAGCATACACTCACTATCAGGTGGACTGTGTACTTGTTTGTCACTCTTATTTTATATAAGAAATTGCATTAACTTCCCTATAGATTGCTTCAAATGGGGGATGTTAACAGTAGTTGCTTTGCTTTGCAGGCGGGTTGGCAACTGCTGATTTTCATTGTTATATCTTTCCTATCATATATCTCTTGTTTGATTTCCCTGTAAATTAATTTATTATACCAAAATATGTTTGATTAAATTATCTATGATTTAATATGTAATTTGTATAATTTAGAGAAATTTAAACTATCAATGTCAATTATCGTGCCAAAACTAAATTGGTTAAACTATAGACATCCGGTACTCGCAAACGGTGGGAGCGGGAGGGTACAGGGGAAGCCTCCCCTACCCTTCCCCCCTTGAGAAAATGTATATGTATATAGTTTATGAGTAATAATTTTTTTTGTAAAATCATAACCTCGTGTTTTTACACAGGAATATTGACACAAAGTTATTTCTGCAACGGCTTCGGCGCTGCGGGAAGTGCAACCCCTTTGCCCTTGCGTAGCAAATCACAGGCACCCATGCTCACCTCCGCAGCTTTGGCTTATTGGTCGCCTTTGGTGACCAGCCTCAGCCGCTACAGCTCGCACAGAGGCCTGCGATTTGCTACAGCGGGCGGGGGCTGCTCTCCCTCCGCACCTACGGCTTACAAAAACACTCTAGGGGTAGGGCAGACAAGACTATGTGGATTAGGGGTGTTCTGATTCAGTTTTAGTACAGATTCGATCTATCTTATCTATAAAGTCAGGTTTTCCTAAACTCTGCTATGATAGTGATAAATGAAACAATGTAATTTTAAATCAAATCAAAAAAGTTCTAAAACAGAGCAGAAGTCGTCGCAAAAACAGGGAAAACACACCACTAAGCACATGAGAAAATATTCGCGTGACCACTAGAGAAACGGAATGACAATTGACATTTGACATCATAGATAGTTTAGTTTATTTTACTTTACGACGGGCTGTTTTCCGCAACTCCACGTCTATGCGCGTATTTTGCGTGGGCAGGAATAATGTGATTATTTGAGCCATGAGATCTCCCCGAAGAAGCTCAACAGTCCCTTGATGTTGTATGCAACTTCGGGGAGTGATCCCGGCGTGCCGAGATGTTTAGCACTGTACGTAGCGACCTCCGGACATTTCAGTAGCACGTGGGCCGCCGTTTCTTCCTCCCCCATACATGCCCTGCACAGGGGACTATCTGTAACACATATAGTAAATAATATATAGTATATAGTAGTAGTAGTAGTATATATAGTAGTGTCTTGTGATAGCACTTGTTACTATCCTGATCTGTGGCTTGTTCAGTCTCATTAAAACTTTGGTTAAGCAACTGTTTATTTCAGGCAGGGCCTCCCTAGCTTGTCTACAGTCTACTAGATTTTTCCAAAGCTGAGCGTGTTGATTAGTGAAGTGTCTACGTACCAGTGAATGAACGTTACCAAAGGGGATTGGTATGGCCCTATAGTGGCCAGAGCCGATCCTCTTCTGGCCAGTTCCTCTGCTGCATCGTTGCCTCTGGATCCACTGTGTCCCTTTATCCATTGCAGAGTCACATTGTTGTTTTTACATACCTCATTTAATCGTTGATGGCATTCATATATAAGTCCCAAGTTCACCTCATTGCAACTCGGAGCTTGTAGTACCGCCCTACTGTCGGTCAGTATTCTGATGGGGAAGTCATTAACCTTCCTAGCATCTATTGCTATGGCCGCTTGAATGATACCCATACATTCCACCTGAAAGACCGTGTTATAGGTACCCAGCGGTGTGCATATGTGAATATTGAGGTCTTCAGAGAAAGCTCCAGAACCTACACCTTCATGTGTTTTAGAACCATCGGTGAAAACTCTAAGCTCTTTTGGGCTTAATCCTTCCGGCTGGCTGTTTTCATTTAATTGTATCTTGTATTTCTTATCGAAAACAAATTGTTTAGGAATCTTATCCTATTTGGCTTGTAGGATAGAAATTTTTGAGTGAATTCTATCAATTATGCCTGTATGAGGGACACTATTCTTACTCCAAAGATTTAGGGTCTTGAGTCTGATGGCAGCTAAAGTCGCTTCTTGTTGTATATGTAGATGAAGCGGAGCTAGCTCCGGCATCGCTTCTAAGGCTGCTGTTGGCGTAGTTCTTATGCAACCTGTGGCAGCCATACATGCCAGTCTCTAGTAGCGCTGAAGCTTCTTAATTGTGGTGTAACAGTATGATTTTTGGTGTCAGTCCCCATCTTTTGCCAATCATGTTTCTGCATTGCCAGAAAGTTATACTAGTTTTGTTGATTTTGTTTTCTATGTGTTTATTCCAGTTAAGTTTGCTGTCCAAGGTAAGACCTAAATATTTTAGCTCAGAGGATAGCTGGAGTTTAGTGCTGAAAAGACTTGGAAGATGATAGTTATTCAGCATTCGTTTTTGTGTGAACATTACTAAAACCGTTTTAATTTGATTGACGGTTAAGTCGTATTCCTTGCACCATCTCTCCACTATACGGACAGCCGCTTGGGTCAGGTCGCACACTATGCTTGCTGTCTTTCCAGAGACCAGTATTGTCAGGTCATCAGCATAACCTACTGTATAGAAGTGATTGGCATTTAATTTGCTGATGAGTTTATTAATGACCATATTCCACAGGAGAGGTGAGAGAACCCCACCCTGCGGGCAGCCTTTCTTAATTTGGATTGGTTGAGATTCACCAGCAATCTTTATTATTCGTATACTGAGCATGTAAACTATCCAGTAGATCAGTGCCGGTTCAACTTTATGTCTACTGAGTGCACCTTTTATGCTGGAGAAGTTCGTTCTGTCAAAAGCACCTTCTATATCTATGAAGGAACCTCGACATATTTCTTTGTTTTGGATGGCCTCTTCAATCTTTGTAATTACCTGATGAAGTGCCGATTCTGTTGATTTGCCTAGACTGTAGGCGTGTTGCTTGTCGTGTAGTGGTAAGTTCATTAGCGACGACCCCCTTAATTCCCTTTTACACATTCTCTCCATCGTCTTTAGGAGAAAGGATGTGAGGCTAATGGGCCTGTAGGATTTAGGGTCAGTGTAGTCGCTCTTACCTGGTTTGGGTATGAATGTGACTTTCACTTCCCTCCATCCCCTAGGAACATATTTAAAAGCCAGACAGGCTCTCATTATGGCAACAAATCTGACTATTAGGGCTTTACCCCCCCACTGTAGGAGAGCCGGGAATATGCCGTCAGGTCCTGCCGCCTTATAGGGGAGGAAACTGTGAATGGCCCAATGGATTTTGTCCATCGTTACCACTCTCTGCTAATAGCTAAATTCCAGTCTTCTGCTGTTGGTGTCAGTATGTCGTCATGCCGGTTTGCCTCCTGGGTTACGCAGCAACCTGGGAAGTTCGTTTCAATTAGGATGCGTTGGGCTTCATCCGGCGATGTTGAGTAGCTACCGTCGGGTTTCTTTAGAGACATAGATCCCGACGTTTTCTGTTTAGCTAGAATATTCCATATCCTATTTGCTTGTTCGCAGGTTTCTATGTTGCCACAGAATTTACGCCACCCAGTCGACGACGCTCGACCATACCAGATACATTTTTTGTGTTCAGACTTAGCTTTCTTATATACATAGGCTGCACTAAAAGTATCGGGAATGAAATATTTCCACTGTTCCTGTCATATTTAAATCTTTTTAATTGAAAACCCCTTGGTTTTAAAAATCGAATACCATTTATTTATTTAAAAAAAGATTCTCGGTCTCGTCACAAGGTTTTGTCAAACTTGATTAGTCGTTGAGAAAATGGAATTGACTCGAGAAATTTCAAGAGCGATGATTTATTATGACTTTCGAAGTGGTTTAACACAAAAACAGTGTGATGACTGGATGATTTTTGCATTCGGTGATGAAGCCCCATCCAAAACCACAATTTATCGCTGGTTTGCTGAATTTCAACGTGGACGTGTCAAGCTCAGTGATGATCCCCGTCAAGGTCGTCCAAAAACTGCAGTCACCCAAGAAAACGTTGATGCTGTGCGTAAACTGATTGAAGAAGATCGACATGTGACATATCGCGATATTCAGGCAACTTTAGACATTGGCATGAGTCAAATACAAATAATCTTGCATGAACAATTAGGTGTAAAAAAGTTATTTTCCCGATGGATACCGCATTCGCTCTGTGAAGAGCAAAAAGCGGCTCGCGTTACTTGGTGCGTCAGAACTCTCGAAAGATTCCACGCAGGATTCTCAAATGCTGTATACAACATCTTATCAGGTGACGAATCCTGGATATACGCGTACGAACCCGAAACAAAAAACCAGTCACGAGTTTGGGTGTTCGAAAATGAGTTAAAGCCAACAAAAATTGTTTGTTCACGGAGTGTTGCAAAAAAAATAGTGGCCACGTTTCTCTCTAAAACCGGCCATGTTACGACTATTCCTCTTGAGGGACAAAGAACGGTTAATGCAGAATGGTATGCTAGCATTTGTTTGCCACAGGTCGTTTCTGAACTCCGTAAAGAGAACTGCAACCGCCGCATCATCCTCCATCACAACAATGCGAGTTCTCACACCGCACACAGAACAAAAGAGTTTTTAGAGCAAGAAAACATAAAATTATTAGACCATCCGCCGTACAGCCCCGACCTAAGCCCTAATGATTTCTATACTTTCCCTAAAATAAAGAATAAATTGCGTGGACAGAGATTTTCATCACCTGAAGAAGCTGTGGACGCCTACAAAACGGCCATTTTGGAGACCCCAACTTCCGAATGGAATGGTTGCTTCAATGATTGGTTCCATCGTATGGAAAAAAGTGTAAAATTTCGCGGAGAATACTTCGAAAAGCAATAAATACATTTTTAAGTAGTAATGTTGTGTCACTTCCTTGATTCCCGAAATTTTCAGTGCCGCCCTCGTAGTAGCCAGTCTTCATCCATTGAGGTATTCATGGCCCTATTTAGGGCTTTTCTTACCTTACGTTTCCTATCGAGTTCTTTACCCCGCCACGGTTGCTTTACCTCGGCATGCCTTGGTGGAGTGATTTCTGAACATGATTCATGGTAGCTGTCTATCATGGCCTTAGTAACAGCTGCTACCTGTTCTTCTAGGAGCGACTGATCTGCTATAGTATTTATCCCCTCAAAACCCGCGAGCGAAGACGTCAGCCTATTTAGGTATTTTGTTTTATCCGTCTTGCAGGGATTTCGCCACGGTGGTGTAGAGGGGATATCGACCTGTAGTGTGAAGCAGATCCACCATATGGTCTGAGCATGAGGCCTCTTTCGACACATGCCATTCCGTGATTAGTTTGGCTGCTCCTTCTGTTGCAAGTATGAGGTCGATTATAGTGCGACAGCGTTTGTTTATGAAAGTAGGTTCAGAACTTATGTTTAAAATGGTTAGGTTAGTACTAAATAAATATTCAACTAAAACCTTACCTCATTCATTTGGTTTTTCCATTCCCCAAAGGGGATGATGTGCGTTGGAGTTCGTCCCGATCACAACCTCTAGTCCGGTCCTCTCGCAGAAGTTCACCAGCCTGCCGACGTCATGAGGGGGAGGAGTGTCTTCCTCCGGCATGTAGACCGAGGCGACGACTAATCTTCTCTCCTGTGTGTATTGTATATTGCCACGGCATACATGTCTCTAGGACAGAAATCTGTTAATGGTTGTGCACAGATATCTTTAGTAGTGTAAATACACGCTCTAGGCTTGTCGTGTTCAGAGCTGTAGAATAGCTTACCTTTTAGGTTGTTTAGGCCTTTAATTTTACCAGCCCCAACCCACGGCTCTTGGATTAGGGCTATGGCAGTCCTTTGAACCTCCAACCACTAGCGTAATTGAGCCGACGCAGTTTCGCTGTGGTGGAGGTTGGCCTGCACTAGGCTAGTTTTGGACGAAGGACACGCCATCATTGATCGCGTCCTCCCCGTCCCCGCCCAAAAATAGGCCTGCCAGAAGGTCTCGGGTCTCATCGTCAGCCACCGAGTCGGAAGTGGTCGGCAAAATCCAGTCCTCTTCGTCACTCAGTGAGCTGCCGCTGAGCCCGATCTCCACTAGAGGCTTCGGCTCAATTGTGCAGGCCGTTTTTTCACTGGACTTGGCCTCCAGTGATTCCGCTGTACCGGTAACCATGGCTCCGGTATCCATAACTTCCGGGTTGTTTTCTACCTCTTTGCTCGGTGGAGTGTCAAAAAATTTACCTCCACGACCCTGGAATTTTACGTATATCGCCCCGCATACACATGCGAGACGGCGTCCGGCCTTCATCAGGGTCGGAATATGATCCTCCGGCACCGAAACAACGAGGAACCACCCGTCCGTCTGCTTATCAGCCTTGATTAATAGCCAGTCCCTGATGTTAAACCCAGCGGTTCTGGTACGCCAGCACGCAATGTCGCGTGAGCTTTTCCAGGCTCCTTGGGGATCAGGGATAAGGATACCACATTTGACTCTTTGTGGTATCTCTGACTGTTTCGTTATTGTCAGCAAGTTGTTGGATTTAAGGTCAAGGGTAGCAATATTCCCCTTCAACCAGTCCAGAGCCTTCTGATCGTCGCACCACAGTTTCAGAACACCCTCCGTATAAACGGGTTTGCCCCTAAAAACTGGGCCCGACGCATCAGGGTCCTGGCTACTCCAAACCTCGCCGATCATCTTCCTCTGTATTGCCACGAGGATGTCGTCTGCTACTTCCTTCGTAATGTGACCTGAACGCGCACACGTTAAGGCCACACCCAAATCTGCTTTAGCAGCGGAAGCGTAGCTCGTTCTTGCAGCCTTTGGTTGCTGTTCGAGTCGCACTTTTTTGTGTTCCCCTCTAGGCGAGGTGGACTCTTCCAGCATCCTTTTGGCTGCTCTTTCCTTCTTCCCAGGACGCTTGGCCGCTCGCCGCTTCCTGGCGGATATCCTAGAGCTGGTTCCCGCGGCCGCGACTTCCACTTGGGCTGGATTTTTATCCTTCCCAGCTTCAGCGCGGCTACTGGTTCCAGCGCCAAGCACCCCAGTCGCAGTAGCTTGCCTAGCCTCCTTGGTTTTAGTTTCGGAAGCAGTCAATGCGGCTCGTTCTCTTCGGCCTTTTTCCCGCTGCTTCTTGTTCTTCTTTTTGGCCTTTCCACTACTGCCTGCAGGGATAGACCCTCCTGATGGTCCGTCAGGTCGGCAAGTCACCTTTTTGGGTGCCTTGCCTTTCCCCTTACGGCTCACCACTTGTCAGGCAGCAGAGAAAAGGTCGTCAGTTCGTAGTGGCTCCGCAGTTTTGTTACTTGCGGTCTCTTGTTCTTTTTTCTCGTCCAGCTCCTTGGAACTGGTTTTGGAAACGTTCAGCGAGGTAATTGTCCCTTTGGTGGGGGCACCTACGCTGGACAGTACTGTCCGTGGAACCGTTGGTTTAGTGACGGTTCCCCCTTGTTCTTTGGTGTCTCTGGTAAGCACCTCTGACACCTCTCCCTCTTTCTTATTGGGCCTTAAATTGTCCATAATTTTTTGTTCTTTAAAATTTATCCCCCGGCTTCCCACCCTCCATGGAGCCCGCACCTTTGGGAACGCCCTACTTTAAAAAAAAAAGAATTTCAGGCGTTAGGATTACCGGGAGAATATAGGGACGCGAAGTTGGCTCACAGCGCGACATCGGGAGCTCGATCCAGTTGGTAGATGGGGCTGACAAGGCCCATCCCCACCACTCGAATAAACTGTCACTTGCTCCGTCAGCATGGCCTTTACCACCACCCAGCCCCCTTTTCAGGAAAACTAGGCAGCCCCCACATCCCTCGCCTGCGACCCTCTGACGGGGCGCTTAGCCATTTCCCTATCTGTGGCTTGCAGATAAGGTCACCGTTTAGCTTGAAATCCGGAGCAAAGAGGGCGTGTTGCCTCTCGCCACTATATACCCCAGCGACGATCGGCTCAACCCTCCATGACTCCATCATCCCCGCGTACGGCGCTCGACTGCGCAGGTGGGTGTGTTAGTCCACCGGATACACCCACTCTCTCCGGCGGAACCGTCTCCTCCTCCTTTCTCATCCGGGCTTGGGACCGGCAATGGCGGAGTTTACATCATAGATAATATATTATATTTGACATTTACGGTTGCCCAAATTATGGCCGTCAACACCGTCCCGTTTCACACTTTTTTACATCGGTTTTTGACATGTAATCTCATAACACTATACAAAATGTCATATTTGCATTTCGTTATACGGAATTTTTAGTGAAATTTATTTTTATCGAAATTAATTCAAAACTCATTTCCGACATTCAAAAACAGTGTAAAAGATTGATGCTTCGCCCAGACAAGCCTCCTAAACTGAAAACATAATTAAAAATTACCAATTATTATCACCATTTTGTAACTTTACCGAAGATATTAGTCTGTAAGCCTTCCTAAAATGACTAAATAAATAAATCAAGTACCAGATATCTATTGCCAACCCACTAAAAATTTATTTAATGACAGCCAAAGATCTAAGAGTTTCTATATTACAGCAATCTTCCAAAAGTCTTGATTATACTGGAGGAAACCAAATGCAACAAAAAGAACAGGGTAATAATATCAGAGGAGTTCAAAAAAACATTTCTAGAACACAACCTATGCCAACAAAGTCGTTCTATGGCCCAATGAATGCCTACAGCAGCCCATTGCAATCTATCCAAGTGAGTACACTTTTTAATAAAACTAGTTTTACGGATTTTATCACATATTTTAACTTATTTTATATCCCCGATGTTTCACTACACTGTACACTTTCTTGTAAATGCAAGAGCTTTAAGGGTTTAGTTCGAAAAAATATGTTTTTTTCTGACTACGTATTAAAGTTACAGCCTGTATATGTCCCATTGTTGAGTATAAGCCTCCTCTCATTTCTAAAAGGGTTTTAGAACAAAGAAATGTCCACAATGCTGCCCCAATATGTATTGGCATACTTAATTTTTTACATTTTACGTGGCAGAGCCATGCTGCAGCTATATTAGTGGTATAGTTGTAGCACGAATGAGTCGGCTTGACCGGGGAAGGACTATGCTCTCACAGAATACCAGCGCAAATAGTAGCTTAATGCTGCCGTGTTTCATATGGTGAGTGTAGAGGCCGGAGACCCTTTTTACTGGAAAAGAGGCATTCCATCTTAGTCCTCAAGGCTGACATTATCATCATTACAGCCCTTAACAAGTCCAACATAGGCCTCGCCCAAGGAATGCCACAAAGCACGATCCTGAGCCACCTGCATCCATCGACTTCCTGCACTCCGCCGGTACGAGGCCGTCACTCGAGAACCTTTTTTCCCCATCAGTTGTCGGTTCTTCGAGCTATATGGCCGGCCCATTGCCACTTCAGCTTACTAATCCATTGGGCTATGTCGGTCACTCTGGCTCTACTGCAGATATCCTCATTTCTAAGTTGATCATGCGGAGAAACTCCGAGCATAGTCCTCTTCATAGCTTGCTGAGTGACCTTGAGCTTCCTCATCTTGCCAGCAGTGAAGGACCACGTCTCAGTTCCATAAGTCATCACTGGCAATACGCACTGCTTGTACAGTCTCGTTTTTAAGTTTTGAGATATACCTGACGAGAAGATATGCCGTAATTTCCCGAACGCTGCATAACCGAGTTGAACCCGTATAAAGTATATAAGAGATTTTTAACTACTTCTTATATTAGGTAACTTGGTACTTAAACACTAATGATTTATTATATACCCTAAAAAGGTAGTCAACTAAGATTCGAAATTAATATTTTGATGATTAATTGAGACATATCTTTGTAATTAAAAAAAATCCCTGCATCTTAAGTTATGAAGGTGTAAACTACATGTTACAGGTAAGTTGCAATTTAACTATTTTGTTATATAATATGTCAGAAGATAACATTTTGGTTTCTTCTGCAACTTTGCATGTTGCTTATCGCGATGCACTTTTGTCTGGGAAAAGGTGCTTATTTACAGCTTCGGACAATTAACAATGAAAAAGAATCAGGTGGAAAAAGCATTAGTCCCCTATCATGTTCCCACTTAACGGCTAGACCAGTAGACCTCCAGTGTTACATGCAAGGGAATGAGAATGTAAAGATTCAAATGAAAATGCTGTTGAGGATATTGGGAAAAAAGTATAGTCTCCTTCCTATTCTCCACTACACCTAAAGTGTCGCAATCGCTTCGTAGCATGTTACATACACAAGTAATGGTAAACAATGCATGAACATTTTGATATCCAATGACAACGAGCTAACTAAAATCGGCGCGCTGCCTTACGAAAGTTCAAAAGGAAGTATCAAATTATTTATTTACTCTTTATTGTACACCAAAAAACAAAACAAAAACGAATACAATTAAATCTAAATTAGCAAATGTACAACAGGCGGTCTTATCACTCTGAAAGTGATTTCTTCCAGACAACCTTAGTGTAGAGAACTGATGTAAACAATAGTTAAAAATAGAGGGGGACGTACAAAATAAAAATAAAAAATATGAAAATACATACAAATAAAGGCAAGTGAAGATTATGTATGATATAATATAATAGATTAAATGAAAAGAGTACGAAAAAGGAAAAGTGATTTATCTAATAGCGTTCTAAGTAATACGATTTAACGAGACTTTTGAAAGAATGAAGAGATTGAGCACGACGAATGTGGAGAGGTAAAGTGTTCCACAAACGTACAGCGCAGTTACAGTAAAGGATTTCTTAAAAAAGGAGGAAGAGTGCGAAGGAGTAGAGAGAGAAAGATTGACAGAGGATCGAAGGAACCGATTATGGGTAAGGGAAAGATACTGGAAACGGTCTTTTAAATAATGAGGAGTGGAAGGATTAAACAGCACGCTATACAAAGTGGAGAGAATGTGAGTATTCCTGCGAAGGCGGATCGGGAGCCATTTGAGCTGTTTGCGAAATTCAGAGATATGATCATATTTGCGAAGCCCAAATATGAATCTAATACATAAATTTTGAATGCGCTCAAGCTTATTAAGCTGCTCCTCGGTAATGTTAAGATGGCATATGTCAGCATAGTCAAGGATAGGTAGAAGTACAGACTGGGCGAGCGTAACTTTACTAGGGTGTCTTGTCCTTTGATCTCCAAAATCACACTATTCAATAAAAAAAAGCATCCAAAACACTGATTGTCCATCTTCCCTGTTGCGACCAATGTCGCCAGAGAACTTAATTATTTATTTAACATTCTAGTGGAATCTCTTGACAAATTATATAATAATCGTGATTAAAACACGGCACAAAATTCACCGGTTTCGTCCGACATAACAAACATAATGATGAATAGCGATGATAATTTCGTGTCATGATGAAAATAGTATGTTTGGTGATAAAAGTTCTGAAAATTCTATGTCATTGATAACAACGTTAACGGAAGTCCATTAAATACCGAATGCGACGGTACTTGAAAGTATTAGTAGCAGTGAAATATTGCAAGAAAAAGAAACTGAAACTGAATCTCCATACCAAGCAAGACCAACCAGAGGTGGAAAAATATTATATGATGGGGCGCTAAGAGAAGGCAGAAAGAAGGGACAGTAAAATAACCAAAGCTATGTGAACTCTAAGAAGCAAATCATTTTATCGATTAGAACTGCAATTGTGTAAAAAATATCAAGAGAAGATATCTACTGAAGAGCATACATATAGATGTCTATGGGCCACGGCAACCACTTACCATCAGGTGGACTGTGTGCTCGTTTGTTATCCTTATCAAATTGTCTTAAAGATAAGCGTGGTCAGCAAGAGGTTCATAATGTGGCTTCAACGGAACGGAGAAGTGTGACATCATCACCTTTGTCCAAGAGCGATATTAACTTGCTTTGGGCTACTGAGAAACCACTTTCCGAGGCAAAATTAAGATATTTAAAAAGTATTATGCACCTACCGAAAGATGCACAAGATTTTTATAAAAAATAAAAGACAACATAGATGATATTGATGGCTATATTGGTGCTATTGATTCTGAGGTAGAAGATGACAATGGAGATTTTTAGCTTAAATTCTTTGAACTCTTTTTATGATTTTTGTATGTTAGATATAAAAAAATGCAAAGATCGATATTTCACAGCAATAAAAAGTATTTAAAGTAAAGAAAACTTTTTATTTTTAAAATATTATAGGAATTGAAACCCACGTTCAATTTGAAAAGGAACCAAGCCACAAATTTGCTTGTTACCAGATGGAACCAACCCGTTTTTTTATTATTACTTATAGTAAAATCTTATAAAAATGTATGAATTATGTATTACAGAAAGGCTTCGATGTCCCACATAAGTTTAGTAAATATTTATTTTTTAATATGCTTCATATACATTTTGCACACTCCTTTTACAAAAGTCCCATTATCTCGAAATCAATATGCAGTGAATTGGTTCCTTTTTGCGTAAATGGGTCCAAATATACTAAACACTAAACAAAAGCTACTTCGACTAGTATTTCAACAAGTATTTGTAAAAAATTATTTGTGTAAACAGCATTAAAAATACTTTAATATTCAATCACCTAGAGCGCGCTAGCCCCGACTGCAATCTACCCCTGGGGTAGCTCGCGATTATTTTAACATGAAAACACGATGTATCTCTCAAGTACCTAATACATATTATATTAGATTAGAATGTTTAGTGCGATTGCCAAGTCAATTTATTTATTTAAAACATAAAAGATTTTTAATATTGATATGGTCACTATAAGATGTTGTTAGGTTAGCTAATTACGTAATAACTTGAGACAGAAGGACCCTTAAGTAAGGACTGAATAAATTAACCGACTTGGCATTACATGAATCTCACAACTTCTTACGGTACAAGAACTGAGATGCGAGACTTGGTTTTTTTACAAGTTATTTTTTGATGACATTTCATTTCTTTTTTGCATATAGTTATATCTAGGTACCTATCTACACCTATTATTCCATTATATCTATACATATAATAAAAATGTAAATAGCCGATGTCTGTACATTTTAGATTTATATAATAAAAGTGAGTGAGTGGTACTAAAAATAAGTAATTAAATACATTTCTACCATTTTTAGAATTTTCTGTCTGTCTGTCTGTCTGTCTGTCTGTCTGTTTGTTTGTTAACGTATCACGTATAAAGTACCAATTTATATCAGAAGAATCGTTAAAGAATTTATAAAGTGTATCTTCAGGTTACATTTAGTCTTTATTTCATTAAAATTAGTTCATTTCATCAAAAGTTATGATAAATATTCTGAAATATGGCTACAAAGTGTAGGTACGAATTTGTTTAATGGTGGCGTTTGTTGAGTCATCAAGTACATTTTAAACTAATATCATATTATAAATCATAACATAATTAAATGATGTAAAATAATGTTCTATAATGATGAAATTATATCTAAAACGCAGTAAACAAAAGTATTGCATAAAGAACGTAATAAATATATTAAAAAATATATTAACCTTATTATGTAAATATAAAGTACAATAGTTAACCCATTTCATCGATAGATGGTGGTGTTGCACAAATGTCATGCAAGAAGGCAGGTTGTGGTTTTTTTTCTGTAAATGACTTTTCATATTTGCTGTTCATCTTTAAATTACTCGCCGCCCTACTGTGTATTGACAATGTCATTTATTCTTTACCGCCGAGTACTCTATATGGTAAATCAAATTTTAAAAGAGCTATTAACAATTTCGTTGGTTT